CCATCCTATGGAAAAGGGAGCATTGGCCCGGGGGTCGTCCCACAGTTACTAAAAACAACAGACATAGCCCCACTCCACAAAGGGGGCAGTAAAGCAACAGCAAAGAACTACAGACCAATAGCACTAACATCCCATATCATAAAAATCTTTGAAAGGGTCCTAAGAAAGCAAGTCACCACGCATCTAGAAACCCATCAGTTACACAACCCAGGGCAACATGGGTTTAGAACAGGTCGCTCCTGTCTGTCTCAACTATTGGACCACTACGACAAAAGGGCCTAAATGCACTAGAAGACAAAAAGAATGCAGATGTAAAATATACAGATTTGCAAAAGCCTTTGACAAAATGTGACCATGGCGTAATAGCGACAAAATGCGTGCTAAAGGAATAACAGGAAAAGTCGGTCGATGGAAACTATAATTTCCTCACTAAAAGAACACAGAGAGTAGTCGTCAACAGAGTAAAGTCCGAGGCAGCTACGGGTAAAAGCTCTGTTCCACAAGGCACAGTACTCGCTCCCCTCTTGTTCCTCATCCTTATATCCGACATAGACAAGGATGTCAGCCACAGCACCGTTTCTTCCTTTGCAGATGACACCCGAATCTGCATGACAGTGTCTTCCATTGCAGACACTGCAAAGCTCCAGGCAGACATCAACCAAATCTTTCAGTGGGCTGCGAAAACAATATGAAGTTCAACGATGAGAAATTTCAATTACTCAGATATGGTAAACATGAGGAAATTAAATCTTCATCAGAGTACAAAAAAAAATTCTGGCCACAAAATAGAGCGAAACACCAACGTCAAAGACCTGGGAGTGATCATGTCGGAGGATCTCACCTTCAAAGGACCATAACATTGTATCAATCGCATCTGCTAGAAAAATGACAGGATGGATAATGAGAACCTTCAAAACTAGGAGGCCAAGCCCATGAAAGAAAAACTCTTCAGGTCACTTGTTCTTTTCTAGGCTTGGGGAAAATTGCTGCACACTACAGCACCTTTCAAGGCAGGGGAAATTGCCGCCCGAAAATGTACAAAAGAACTTTCACGGGGCGCATAAAAGGAGATAAAAAAACCTCAATTATTGGGAGCGCTTGGGGGTTTCCAAACCGGGATTCCCTGGAACGCAGGAGGGAGAAATCATGATTATTTTACACCCGGGGAAAAACCCAGAGGGGACTAGTACCAAAATTGCACAAAGAAAAACCCCACCCACTACCCAAAACAAAAGAAATTGGCAGGACGATGACCATCCCCCCAATGAAAAGCAGGGGTGTCACCCAGCCCCTTTTAAAAGACCATACAATAAGTGTCAGGGGTCCGAGACTGTTCAACTGCCTCCCACACTTAAGGGGGGTTACCAAAAAGACCCCCGGCAGCCTTTAAAAACTGGGGATGGACAAGCACCTAAAAATCAGTTCCCCCGGGTCAGCCGGGGTGTGGGCCCCGTATTTGGTTTGGGGTGCAGCCAGCAAACAAAAAGCCTGGTTGATCAGGCTCTGATCCACCAGGAGGCCTGGTCTCAGACCGGGCCGCGGGGGCGTTGACCCCCGGAACTCTCTCCAGGTAAACTCCAGGAAGGTGAGATCCTCCGACATGATCACTCCCAGGTCTTTGACGTTGGTGTTTCGCTCTATTTTATGGCCAGAATTTGTTTTGTACTCTGATGAAGATTTAATTTCCTCATGTTTACCATATCTGAGTAATTGAAATTTCTCATCGTTGAACTTCATATTGTTTTCTGCAGCCCACTGAAAGATTTGGTTGATGTCTGCCTGGAGCTTTGCAGTGTCTGCAATGGAAGACACTGTCATGCAGATTCGGGTGTCATCTGCAAAGGAAGACACGGTGCTGTGGCTGTGGGGGGATGTTGCATCGTCTGCCAAGTCTTTTGCTTTCGTAGTGAGTGATTTTCGTGTGCAAGTTCGGTACTAGTCCCTCTAGGATTTTCCAGGTGTATATAATCATGTATGACAAATTCACAAATACGACAAAGATTCTGCTCTTGACTCTCGCCCAGGCAGGTCATAGCAGCTCTCCTTGCTTACTCTGTCTCCCTACGATCCCCGTTGGGGAGGGGAACCTTTACCAGCGTTGTCATTGCCTTGACTTACACGATGAGCTACGCAAATCGTGTAAAGATCAAACCAAGAAATGGTACCGTTGATGATTCAACGAAGATTGCTCTTGCAACTGTTGTTCAGGGAGCACTGGAAGTAAAATTCAACACCATATTGTCACTGAAAGAAGCATTCATTGTTGTGTGTCACGATGATGCTGAAGCAGAGAAGCTACTCACTACAGAAGCCATCACTACTCTTATTACTCAAGGGTTTACTGTTACGTCATCTCCTGCCCTCAGGGCAAGGAAATCAGTATTCCTAAAAAAACTGGACAAGATTCTGACGTCTCAAACACCTGCTGAACTCAAGTCATCCATCGAGACGCAAAATACTTGGGCTACTGTTGACAGTATTACAAAAATCCCAAATGCAACGTCCATGATCAAGGTCACCTTCACCGACGTGAACATGGCTGCCACTGCACTTAACGAAGGTCTTGCTGTCTACTACTACTACATCAGCCCTACCTACATTGAAGCAGAGAGATATCACTACATCCAACATTGCTGGAACTGTTATTCATACCATCACACCACCAAAGCATGTCCAGTAAAAGACAAGAAGTTCTGCACTACATGTGGTAGTGAGGGACACGCCTTCAGTTCCTGCACCGCTGCTGCTCCAACACAACCAGCGTGCTTAAACTGCAAGAGTAATGATCACCATACACTGGCAGCAAAATGTCCTACAAGAAAGGATATTATGAAGAAAACACAAGATGCAGCAAAGAAAAAACCTACTAGCAACACTCCAACGTATGCAGCAATTGCAAAAATACAAGCAGACACTACAAAATTACTTCAAGCATCTACTCAGCCCGCCTCCACCACCACCACTACCATCACTCCTCCAACATGTGACGTAACGAAGATTCACTACTGTCTACTATACGCTCATATGCAAAACATGGCTGTACCTGGATCATTTAACTCTACCATCAACGAGTTATTTGCATTAAATAACATGCCTTCATTTACATTTCCAGCATCTCCACCTTCTGAAGAAATTCTCAAATTCACCAAAAACTTAATCGCCAACTCTTCTGCAGAAGTTCCATCAACACCACCAACTAGTGACGTCAATCCAACAACGACCAATGAGAAGCCTCCACCGCCACCACCTCTCACTGAATCCAACCAATCAGAGCCTTACCACCAGAAACATCTTCTAATTCGTCTACTGAAGTTGAAAACGAAGCAACACCACCTTCCTCTACTCCACCACCGCCTTCTCTACTTAGCTCACGTCGATTACCTGGAACACCATGGGTTAAACACAAAGGACTCATATTCTACACCACGAGGCTGTACCCTGCAAGCATGACTCGCCTAGAACTCATCCAACATCTCCAAGACAACACTGTATCGTACCAAAGCGAAGAAAGACCATTCCCTACCTACAACCAGATACTCCACCAACTCCAAACCAACGAATACTACTACAGCTCTCCCATAAGTGTGATACAACTCTCTCGAAAACAATTTACCGCACTGATAAACGGTTTAAGACCATAACCAACTCATCCTGCTTGCTGCCTTCTGACACTCCCAGCTCCTACCGCTGCCTTCGCCATCCTCTCCTAGTGAGCCAAGCAATGACATCAGTCAAGCCTCTCTATCTACGTCTCCAGTACTTTTGTACCACATGTCCCAAAGTGGTTGGGTCACTTGCCTTGATTCCTCCTCTTCCCCTCCTCCCCATCCTTTTCCAGTTATTTCTATCCTTCCATATCCTTCTTCCTTCCCATCTTACGACAGCTCTCGTCGTCCTCGATTCGATTCGATTCGATAATCATGTATCTCTCCCGCCTGCGTTCCAGGGAATACAAGTTCAGGAACCTCAAGCGCTCCCAGTAATTGAGGTGTTTTATCTCCGTTATGCGTGCCGTGAAGGTTCTCTGTACATTTTCTAGGTCAGCAATTTCACCTGCCTTGAAAGGTGCTGTTAGTGTGCACCAATATTCCAGCCTAGATAGAACAAGTGACCTGAAGAGTGTCATCATGGGCTTGGCATCCCTAGCTTTGAAGGTTCTCATTATCCATCCTGTCATTTTTCTAGTAGATGCGATTGATACACTGTTATGGTCCTTGAAGGTGAGATCCTCCGACATGATCACTCCCAGGTCTTTGACGTTGGTGTTTCGCTCTATTTTGTGGCCAGAATTTGTTTTGTACTCTGATGAAGATTTAATTTCCTCGTGTTTACCATATCTGAGTAATTGAAATTTCTCATCGTTGAACTTCATATTGTTTTCTGCAGCCCACTGAAAGATTTGGTTGATATCCGCCAGGAGCCTTGCAGTGTCTGCAATGGAAGACACTGTCATGCAGATTCGGGTGTCATCTGCAAAGGAAGACACGGTGCTGTGGCTGACATCCTTGTCTATGTCAGATATGAGGATGAGGAATAATAGTATGACCCTAGTGAGTGTAAAGAAGCTGCAACTTGGTGGGGTATTAAAAGAAAACATTACAAAGGCAGCAAGAGAGACCAATGCTTGGGTGACCCACGTCAATAAGAGAATCCTGGGATATGGTAACGACAGAATCAAGACGCTTAGGCTCAGACGGCTAGGCTGCAAGAGTTGTCTAGGCTCAGACGGCTAGGCTGCAAGAGTTGTCTAGGCTCAGACGGCTAGGCTGCAAGAGTTGTCTAGGCTCAGACGGCTAGGCTGCAAGAGTTGTCTGGGCTCAGACGGCTAGGCTGCAAGAGTTGTCTAGGCTCAGACGGCTAGGCTGCAAGAGTTGTCTAGGCTCAGACGGCTAGGCTGCAAGAGTTGTCTAAGCTCGGGTGACCACAGCTCACAGATTAACTTTTGCGTGCATACCTCCTCAGACACAGGAAATATAAATTTAAAATTGAATTTTACTTACAACAGAGAAGTAGATGGTGCAAACGACGCCCATGATGGCAACGGACGTGGAGGTAGATATGTTGGTGACGGTGGAGAGAGCGAGTGAAGGAGCATACAAACACACACCCATCACTGACACAGTGTTAAGAAGCTGCAACATACTCACTAGCTTCCTCAGTACTCGAGATTCATAGCGCAGCTCTATGTACTGTCAGGTAACACACACACATTACATATATATATATATATATATATATATATATATATATATATATATATATATATATATATATATATATATATATATATATATATATATATATATATAATATAATGAGATGTAAATCTCTCAGTATATATACACAGAAAATTACTTTAAACTCAATAAAATATTAACATTTATGTTAGTAAACACCGCCATTTATAGCCTCTCATAAAAAATATGTAAGTTTTTCATAAAAAGTCTCAACAGCACTCAAGTTCCTTACTTGGTTGAGCGAAACAAGTTTGAGGTTGTAGAAGATCGGGAGTGTGATCTTGTGGATCAAGAGGCAGCCAGGCAGGAAGCCCAAGAGGCAGGTCACTAACTGCGTGCCGAAGAAATACATCTCTGAGGCGTTACCTGTAGAAATTGATGAAGTTGTTTTGAAGGCAGTTTGAGGGGAGGTGATGTTGGAGGGTGTAATTTTCTATTTGACAAAACTGGATACGTCAGCAGTGTGCTGCTATTCTGAGCTACTGTATATGATAATTATGTAGTGGGAATGAAAGCAAGTTATGGCTCTATCATATTCCACTGCGCATGATGAGTCACATATATAATGTTGAAAGCTGTCAGCCTTAGTTAATTAGTCCTTCCGCCTGGAAGCCGATGTTCCAGCACCTTAGTCTTGATGAATCTAATTTATTCATTGTCAAATTCATCAAGACTAAGATACTGATCACCGAATACCAGGCTGGGGAACTAATTACCTCATCTTCCTAGACTATCTTCAGTAAAGCTGAGTTTCAGCACCTCCAGTTACCTCTGTATTAAACTGATAAAACTGCTGGTTAGTGAAACGTCTTCGAATAAATATTCCTAGGTTTGTATGCGCATCTCATTTCTCGTGCTTTTATTTAACTAGTCTTATAGGGTAAATGGGTCGACTTTTTAATATGATCCTAGAAAACTTTACTATCGACAGTGCCTTAACCATTATTATTCTAGTCATGGGAAGCGCTCAGCCTTTGTCATACAGCTCCTGGGAAATGGGGATTTTTTTTTTTTACAGGGAAGAGGAGGGTAGATCCAATTCATCGAAATGAAGAGCACTAGACCAGCATCAGGATTGCGTCGACTAACAACATTTACTAACCTAGTATGGCTATGGCGGAGATGACACCTCCAAGGAGAGAGAATGCTACTGGGATTGTTGACATACTTCTTTCCCCCAGCAAGTAATCATTCGTGGAGGTGTTGCCTCTGCCCTTGAGAGCGCTGTATATACCGATGGCAAGAGACGCGATCAGCATTGAGCAGAAGACTAAGTAATCCACAGCTGTGAACTTGGGGCTTGAAGTGGCATCATATGTTGAAGATATTTCAATCGGTTCCGACATCTGTAAAAAATTGTTATAACATCCTGTGGTATAAAAATTTATTTTTTACTCTAAGAAAATTCAACCTTACATGCTAATTTATTCGGGTTTGACGTCTGTATAAACTAGATGCGTTTCGATTAATGTACGATCTGAGAAATATATCCCCGTATTCCATAAGACCAGCCTCCCTTACCTCACTGCATGCAAAAGGAATAGTGCAGAGAGTGACATAAGTTTCTAATGCAGTTAGATATCAGCACAATATTTGATGCCAATCATAAAAGTAAGTTATCACTTGAAAACTAATATTCTAACAGACCATGGCGCAGGGAAGTGTTGTTGTCTTACTTGACATAGATAGTATATCTGATTCATTAGGACGTCATTTGCAATTTTTATGAGCCATTTGGAGGAGATTTTACCAGTGCTGAAGAAAGTTTAAAGGGCTTCTGTGCAAGGGTTGGGATGAACTTGATAAACTTATGAACACTAATGAGGACATTTCTTTCAGTGACACGATCTCTGATTTTTGAAATATCAAGTAATATCCATTAGTTTAGAGTTTTGGTTGTAAGTGGATATCCTAGGATGATCCACATACCTTGGTTCTGCATTTTTTCAACCCTTCAAGCTTCCAAGCTGTAAAAGAACAATTAAGGGTGTATGCAAAATACATCGTTTTCATTATTTTTACATTAGTTCCGTATCTGGGATGAAAACCTGTCACAGCCTTAAGTGCTCTAAGTGTCTCTGTATTGGCGACAAGGTCTTCTTATAATAAGTTCAAGTAGAAAGACCTCCAGCCGATGAACCTGCATCATGCAGTTGGATCCTGCGGATTGGGCCTCTCTGTCAGGAAGGACGCCTGCTAACTCTTCGTTTCCTTAGTCGAGATGATCAGTCGCAGGTCCTGACATAAATTCAGTACATGGTTAAGGATGTTTTGGGTGTTGGGGAATGCAGTGGTGTAAATCATATAATGATTGGGATGGCGAGCATAATATTTAGTAAAGCATTAAATAGAATATTGAATAAGATGGGACTGAGGACGCTTCCCTGTGGGGTTCCTAATTCAGAGTCTTTCGTTACACTTTTCTGCACTTGAAACACAACAGAAGACTTTATGTTCGATAGGTAGCCTTTAAGCCGGCTGAGACGCTATCCTACATCCATTCTGGCAAGTTCACTAATAATTACATGTCAGTTAACTATATCAAAGGCAAATTTAAGGTTAAGGATGATAGTGTATTAACAATCAGAGCGCAGAATGAGAAAGTTATGTAATGATGCATACTCCTTCCATGCATGAAACCATGCAGCCAAGACGACAAATATTGTTTGATTCTGTACTCGAATCTAGAATTAGCGCAGTAGGTATGATTATTGTAGTATGTATGAATATTATAGTAGCTAGATGGGTTTGTAATACAAGGCTTGAGTGGCTCTCCAGGCAGCTCTACGGTAAATACTTCGGAATATTATTTTCAAGGTTACTGTTAAAGGTCTTGACAGGAATATTCCTAGGAATTGTATCAGCCTGTAACAGTGGAAACATGAAAAAATACAATATTTCCGTTTGAATATCCCACCAGGAAGGATAGTATTACGAATATTGATAGTTGTTAATCTTAGAAAATGATATGAGATGTTACAGTGGAAGACTCACAGCTGGCCAAGGTAATGATGAAGCCAAGACAGATCAAAGATGCCTCCATAGGTATGTGTGGGTTTAGGATCGCGTCTACAATTCGCACACCATAACTAATTAAGAATGGCAAAATTTGTTTATTTTTACAATTACTAAATTGTGAGTTTCCAATGTTTTTGTGTTTAGCACAAACATTATATAATTAAGCCTATCAGCAGGAGCATATACATTCAATAGGTTGAAAGCAGTTCCCTACATAAATCCTAACACTGGTATTAAAGCCTCACAGTCTTCTTAATTGCAAGTTGACAGAAAAGCGATTTGAGATTATGCATAACAAATGACGGCAATTTAGAAGGTGGAGATCTTGCAGGGATTCTGTACTCCTGTAGATAAACAACATCAATGGATACAGTAGCTACTTAACGGTGAATGTCATAAAATCTTCTCCTAAGTTGATGCAATATTCCAACTAAGGATAAAATGTTTATACGAGCTTTGTTCCATTATAGAAGTCCTGAGATGACAGTTTCTCAGCATAATGAATTTGTTAAACAGAAATCAGACCTTACTTGTCATCTGAATTTCCCTTATCCATGTATCTTGTAAGTGCACCTCTATCACTGAGGCTACATTGGAATTTTGCTTTACATATAACGTTGCGTTTTTTGTCTGTGAAGGTATAGTAGGTGGTATCATCACTTGTATCCTCCTCCCCACTATCATCACTACATTACCACTGTCATTATCGACATCATTTCAGTCACCAACTTGGTCATCATCTCCACACTGAACTTCATTGTCATATCAGACACCTTCACTACGCTAATTTTCATAATCACTGTTCATATGCCCACAGGCACACACTGCGTGCACGCTACCTCACGTTTCTCTAGTTTTTTGTTTGTTGTAACCACCATTGTTACGAACCAGTACTTGTAGGCTTAGCTGCAAGTTGTGTAGCACTGAAGCGATGCATGTTTCATCTGCAGAAGTGAAGCCTGGGCTGAGCCTGACAACTAATTGGACAAGTGGTGTCATCACCACTAGTGTTGGTAATAGAAGTGGTGGAACTCTGGTAATGTGCTCTCCAGGCTGCTTGCACAACCTCAGTGTCTGGAGACAGGCATGAACTAGTATTTGGTCTCTTGGAGATGTTGTGAACTTAATAATAAAAATAATTTGTATTATTATTATTATTACTTCTACAAGTACATGATACAACTATTGCAGACATAGCTGACATCACTGGCATATTATATAGAAAGCCCCTGGTAATTCAAAGCATTTCGGGCATCTTAGGTTAATTTTGTTCCCTAGAATGCGACCCACAACAGTCGTCTAACACCCGGTTACCTACTGAGCGCTAGGTCAACAGGGGCAGTAGATTTAAGGAAACATGCCACGCACCATCGTAGAGTCCATGGAAACTCCCGTGAGTTGATACCCATATGGTCACCCCCAGATGTACGTGACAAGGAAAAGCAGCTGTTGTTGGGTTGGTTTGAGACAGCACCCAGAACCTCCCGGATTTTCCCTCTGGCCCTAGAGGGCGTCGGGTAGGCTAAGAGCCTCACGGCTAGCTGTGAGTATGTGCAGAGTAATGCTGAGGGGTGAGACCGGGACTCGACCCCAGCCCCAGCCTTCAGCGACAACAGGAAGCTGGAGATATGATGCCTTAGTCTACTACACCACCATGCCACATAACTCTGAGCGGCCAGCATGATCGCTAGCCATACTTCCACCCAAAGGCAGACACATTTGGTTTATGGATCTTAATTGTGTTATTCTCTGCCTTCGTGTCCACTGTACAGGCAGTGCCCACAGTACTTCGCACCCGCAATATTTCTCTGCATAGATCCAATTGTTTCCGTGGATGCATTGATATTGGTGGTCCTTGTAAAGTGGACACAAAGGATGAGAGTGAAATGGCTAAGGCTAGTCTATTTTGTGTGCCAAATTTGTTTTTGTACTCTTGATGAGATAATTTCTCGTGTTTACAATATCTGAGTAATTGAAATTTCTCATCGTTGAACTTATATTGTTTTCTGGCCCACTGGAAAGATTATTTGGTTGATGTCTGCCAGGAGCCTTGCGTGTCTGCAATGGAAACGACACTGGTCATGCAGATTCGGGGGGTGTCATCTGCAAAGTGATGACACGGTGCTGTGGCTGACATCCTTGACTATTGTCAGAATATGAGGATGAGAACAAGATTGGAGCGAGTAACTGTGCCTTGTGGAACAGAGCTTTTCACCGTAGCTGCCTCGGACTTTACTCTGTTGACTACTACTCTCTGTGTATTTGTTAGTGAGGATATTTAGATCCAGCGACCGACCTTTTCCTGGTTATTCTTTAAGCACGCATTTTGGGCGCTTATTACGCCATGGTCAACTTCTGTCGAAAGCTTTTGCAAGTCTGTATATAGTACATCTGCATTCTTTTTGTCTTTTCTAGTGCATCTAGGACCTTGTCGTAGTGATCCAATAGTTGAAGAACAGACAGGAGCGACCCTGTTCTAACCATGTTGCCTGGGTTGTGTATATGATGGGTTTCTAGATGGGTGTGATCTTGCTTCTTAGGACCCTTTCAAAGATTTTTATGTATGGGTGTTAGTGCTATCGAGTCTGTAGTTCTTTGTTGATTGCTTTACTGCCCCATTTGTGGAGTGGGCTATGTCTGTTGGTTTTTAGTCTTAGAATGTGGGACGCCCGTGGTCCATGTCCCTCTCCATAGGAGGGTTAAAAGCTCGTGATAGGGCCTTCTTGCAGTTCTTGGTGAAACACGGAGTTCCATGAGATCTGGCCTGGGGCAGAGTGCATGGGCATGTTCATTTATCGCCTGTTCGAAGTCATTTGGCGTCAGGATAACATGGATAGGCTTGTGTCAAACCAAGTTTCTGGGCTCTCTCATAAAAAATTCATTTTGATCTTCGACTCTCAGTGTGGGTTAGCGGTTGCTAAGAACTGAGTCATATTGGGACTCTTGAGTAGTAGCTCACTGCATTTCTTTGCTGTCATCTTGTGTAGGGAACATCTTGTTTAAGTAGGGGCCAATAATGGAATTGTTCTCCGACTTTGATTTGGCATAGGAGAAGAAATACTTTTGGTTTCTTTCGATTCATTTAGGCTTTTAGTTCTTCCGCGATTCCTGATTCCTATAAGGATTCCTTTAGCTTAAATTCGATGCTTGCTATTTCTCTGACCGGTGTCTCCCTACGCATTTTCAGCTTTATTGGCCTCTTTTAGACGCTCTGTTATTCTTTTCCGTCGCCCTGTAAGGGAGAGCGCCCTGTCTCTTTCTATTTTACATTACTCCTCTTTTTTTAGAGGAATAAGCCTTGTGCATACATCGAGTGCAACAATGTTAATCTGTTCTAGGCATAAGGTTGGGGT